GTACTTGGTTGTAGTATAAGAAAAATACATTTAAAAAAACTGATCGATAACTAACTGAGTGCAATAAACCATTCCAAAAAGTGAATTAATTGAAGTACACAAAAACAAGTCCCGGCGATTCATCGCCAGAATGAATTTGTGTACGTCTACTATAGCAAAGTAAGGTTTCGCTGCACAACAAGCAAATAACCATTCTCTTCCACAAATTTATAAACTTATAAAGCGGTCGCCGCTCTTAGTTTTTGTCAATAAACAAACGACGGGGCAGATTAAAATTGGTTTCTCCTTTTTTTGTCGACTTTTTAAATTAAAAATGTTTACGTCTAAATAATCCGGTAGTATAAGTGGAAAGCAGCAGCTTAAATCGGCTCATAATTTCCAATTTTACTTCCGGTAGCGTAACTATACTTTAATTAAGAAATGCTTCACATGTTTTCGGTTGGAAAATTTCGACAAGGAATTTCTAACTTCTAACATCACTTGCCCACATTCACATGTATTTTTTAACTACGTACATTAGTACATGTAGATATTTGTGCTTTTTAAATTCGAACGCACCGAGCTATCTAAAAGCACTTGCTACGAAATTCTGCATATTCAATATTTATATATATTTATGAAGCAATTTTATTGAAGCTTCCAGGGGAAATGAGACTCACATATGCAAAAAAAAACGGTTAAAGCTCTCTCCGAGTAATAAAAAAAGATTGAAAGGTGGGATACAAACCGCCATTTTACGTTTGAGTTTCTCTCACAAAGCAGCGTAGGTACATGAACGGAATAAATTCATTTTAGTGGAAAATTTTGTACTAGTCAGAAAAACCTAATACGGGTAGATTTTTGCTCTTAATTTCGCAAATATTGCGCCACCTGTGATTTATATGTACGCCATTGAAAATTTTAATTCAAACAAGGGTCGTGTGTCACTATGCTTCAAAAACGGGGATTAAGTTTCCGTTTTTTTTTAAATTTAATGCAATCATAACAGAGAAAATTAATTTTGTCCAATGGTAACTCGTCCATTTATAATATTAGCTTCTCACGACACAAATTACCTACACGAATCTAGTGTGCATTTACGCACGAGGGTTGAAGTCGTAATCTTCTGATAACTTTCGTTTCAAAGGTCATATTGAAAACTAGAGAAGTTTCATGAGCATTGTGCATCAGCTGCAACGAAGTTCAAGTCAGGAGGAATTCTTTCTAACACGTTCAGCCTCCACGTTTCTGGGCAACATTAAAAAACTTATACCTTACTGAGTGCACAATATAGACAATGTTTCGTTTTCCAAAACTCCTTATTTCATTTCATTCATCAGGAGTTATTTGTGCTGTGCATATACTATGAACTATGATTTCTTCTCTCCCCTCTGAGATCTGTTTGCCCTTCTTTTAGGTGATTTACGTAAATTCTCAGTTATTCACGTGTCACTGTTGTGTCTGGGCTCCTTCCAGATCCTTATTGCAGATAAAGCATATACTATAATCTGACTTCTTTCGTTCTGATACCATTATTAATGTCATTCATGATACTTCTACGATTCATCACATTAAATAAAGCTTAATTAAAAAATATGCTGTCATCGCAGAATTCGAAAGCCAGAGATTCGCGTCAATGCGAAGACTTTCGAAGGTTACCTGTTAGCTGATAAAGAGTACGAGCCATATTTGGCGTTTGGGTAACCGAGCTCAGAAGACGGTCCAAATAAATTCATATCGACCTATTGGTCCATTTAGACAGTTGTGAAAAATGTGCTCTTGTGGTAGTGTGAAAGGTACGATACATAGGAGTTTGTTTCAGTCAGTTCAAAAATTATAGGGTTACAGTTAAGAAATTACGCAAGGAAAAATTTGTGTACTTAAATAAATGGGTTCGTTAAACCGTGAACAACAGGGCGAATACTTGGAGGTAAAATGTTGGTATTTATTACTTAGCCTAGACTAAATTTTTATAATTGAACGTACTATGTGTACATACATAAGGGAAATTGTGAGCTAGAACGTTCTAAGTCTAGCACCACATTCTTGAGACGCTTCAAACTCTAGATGTTGGCGTCACTTACATCTCCTCAAAAAATTAAGGAAAGAAAGAGTAAGTAAAACTAAGTAAAAAATGGAAGAAAGCAGTAAATACATGCACACAAATAAGAGGAATTTCTGAAAAAGCTGAGAACTGGTTTTCTGAACTAGTTTTCTTTCAGTTTTAAATTGTGGGCGTGTTAATTGAAAAGTAGTACTATAAATTATAGGTAGAATATCTATATTGGATTTTAAAACTGAGGGAAACTAGGTAAAAAAGTGAGAAATGCAGGAAATAAACAAATATTAGGATTACTTCCCGAGAGGTGCTTAGGAATATACAGTGTGTCCCAGGTCGGATGGGATTACATGGGTAACTTTCTTATTATTAAAGATAGAGAATTGGATAATGGACAATGTTTTGCAGTTTTAAATGCTTATTTAAAATTTCCTTGTGGAAATTCAAAATGTCGAATAGGTTCGACGTAAATTCAAAAAAAACTAAAATTGGTCATTTCTTTGAATGTCTTATATCATCGAAAGAATAAGAGATATAAAAAAAAGTTTTATATAAAAGTTACTGTCTTTGATACGCCTAATTTAGAATTGATGTCAAACAAAAATTCAAGATGGCTAGCTTTGAGTTGAGCTAAAGTTAAATAGGCGCAATATTGAGTGGTTAGATTACTTGACAGATTTTTTAATTCTCTTTTCAATGTGCTATAGTATAAGATTGAAAATAAGATATCAGTTGTATAAACGGTTTTTACATTTTAATTAAGTAGTCTGCGATGAATTAAAAAACAAAACAAAATCTATTCGAGGCAACAAAACAATGAAAATAATTACATCAGATGTTTAAAATATCAGGGGCGCACTCATGGGAGGGGGGTTTGGGCGTTACATCTCCCTCCAAAATTTTATATAAGTAGGCCTAGAAAAATTTTGACTTTTATGACGTCACTTATTGACTATCCTATTATCCATAGTTACAGACCTATAAAATGGTGGTATAACTACAAACTATCCTCTCGAAAATATGTCATGCCATTATCCAGTTTCAAGACACTTCGCTTTACTTTACACAATGTATTACCATTGATGGTAATCCCAGGTCACATTTTGTAGGTGGTTTATCCGTAAGAATATCGAAACTAACTCCAGTTTTACCAGTCCGAGTATATGGACAGATGAGTCTTATTTTTCCAAGTGCGGAATGTTCAAATCGACATAATGAACATTATTCGTCACATGAAAACATACATGTTGTAGTTTCACGACGAAATCAAGTAAGGTTTTGAATTAATGTATTTTAAGACATAATGGGAAGTCATGTAATTGGACCGGTAATCTTCGATGGAACTTTAACTGCTCACCATTATTTACAAATTCTCCAATAAACTTCCTTAAAGAATTTTCTAGACAACGTATGTTTCGCAGAAAGGGCTGGTTTATGGTACCTACCAACAATCTGGCTGCCCAGGTCACAATTCACGAAGTACGAGTATATGGAGGTAGCTACAACTATAATAATAATAATAACGTACACAAATGCGCGAAGCCGTTCTAAAGGCGTGTATAGCATCAATGGCAACACGTTGCCTAAATAAACTGTCTTGAAGTGTGTTTCACTAATAATGGCCAGTATTTTAAACATCTGATGATGTATTTATTTTCAATGTTTTGTTGCCTCGAATTGATGTAGTTTTGTTTTTTTTTTAAATTCATTACTTACAGCCTACTTGATTAAAATATAAAACCGTTGATATAACGGATATCTTATTTTCAATCTTATGCTATGATAGCTCGTTGAAAAGAGAATTAAAAAATCTATCAAATAATCTAAAAATCCAATATGGCGCCTATTTAACTTTAGGAAGTTGATAAATGTTCCTCAAAAGTAGCCATCTTGAATTTTTTCTAAATGAAGCGTATCAAAAACAGTAACTTTTATGTAAAACTTTTTTTTATATCTCTTATACTTTCGATGCTATAAAGCATTAAAAGAAATGACCAATTTAAAACTGCAAAACATTGCCCATTTAACCAATTCTCTATCTTTAATAATAAGAAAGATATACCCATGCAATCCCACGCGACCTGGGACACACTGTATATCTAGGGATTTATTAGAATAGGACCTTTCGAATGTTCTGCAAAAAAAAAAGAGAAACTGCATTTACGTGTGACGGGATATCCATTGAGAACTGGGGAACTTTTGAATTTCGTCCTTAAAATCCTATTTTTTACATTTCTAAATTGAGGACACCAGTATACGGAATCTAGAAGTATAATTATTGATATAAATGAGGGAAAGAAAGGGAAACTATAACTATGTATGTAAAACAAGGAAAAATGCCGAAAGGAAATAGACACGAATATTAGGATTTCTTTGCAGAAAGCAAAAAGTGGTGCTTCCATATGTGACGAGTGGTCAATCAGAACTGAGGATCGTTTCAATTTTTCTGGTAAAATTCTGGTTGGCTTGCAGTATTTAAATGGAGGTAAAAAATTGAGTAGCAGTCAAATACGGCCGCAAATGAGAAAAATAAAGGGTGGTTATAATTAAGTAAAAAACAAGTATTACATATTTCAGTGTGTCTTATTATGAACAATTCAATGATGGTAGTGAATGACAACTCTGGAATTAAAATAATCCATCCTCATATTTGTAAATTCTCTTCGTTACTGGAAGGACCTCAGTTCCAAAGGATCGCCCGGTATTAATTCAATGAAATAAGGAAGATCGGGAAATGTGAGATACTACTTAAGATAAATTAAATGCCATGTCAAAAAAAGTGGAAGAAAAACCAGTTAGGAAATGGACTTAGAACAAACCGACAAAGAGCAACTACTTAATGCAACAATCCAAGCGATTTTTTGTCGCTCAACCGTAATACTATATAAAGACAAACATACTAGACGAAAAAGTCTAAGCTAACCAAACCATACAAAGCATGAATAGAGTAGGTAACATTTATCTTTAATTATAATAACAATAATTTTTAACAGCAATAAACACTTACTTAATTATGTACAAATAACACCTATGTGGGCTCTAACATAGGGGTTTCAAAATTACATTTACACTCAGAAACGTTCAGTAAAATTGATTATTAGGCAAGTCATTACAAATTACAAGTCGTTTTTGCAATTTACTACGAAAACGGAGACTTTCTTGTCTTATGTATCCGACCGTGAAATTCTGACTTACAGCTTAGTAATAAACTGGACGTGAAGTTAAAAAAAACAGATCGAATGATATATAAAGAAAGGTTGTGCCTTCCACGTTTTCGTAGTTTACGGAATAAGACTCAGAAGATTAAAAAAGGGCGTTCGGCCGCTGCATTTGCTGCTAGACGTGCGACACTTGCGTTTCGGTAACCACAATCTCTGGAGAAGGTTGCGCGTTGAACGTCCAGCGATTCAAAAATTTCGGCCTGAACGCTTCCTGAAAGGCGGTCCGGAATTGTCTCGACATCGCACAGTAAAGGATGAAGTTGATGGCAGAATTTGTGAGGGCTAATATGTCCATTAGGTCACCTGTAACAGAAAAAAAACAAATGTTATAGTGAAACGAGCAGAACAGCATCAAACTAATGGCTAATTTCAATAGCTCTTTTACCTTTGTGTGTAGGTATGTGGAGGTTTTATTCGATTATGCTTGTTACTAAGTTTTCCCTTAGTGCCCTTTTAGTTCCAATTGGTCAAATAACTGGTTTACGCTTTTGAAGTATTTTTTTGGAAATTGTGTCACTGCTACTGTTGCTGTACTTTAAGGTACCTACCAATAGAGGTAAAAATCAAGTAATTGTTTTTAAGAGTTACAGCAATTGTAAAAAGTTGGAATTTTTGAATATTGTCAAATATATTAATACTAAACCTATTTTGAGATTTTTCTCATTTATAATTGCACGAAAAACCTCTTCGTTTGATCCAAAAACATCTTTCAAGTTACAAAAGATCAATATTCCAACAATTCAGGGTGGGTGAATCGTTCTGATACATACGATTTGTGAACTAGGCTCCTTCTTTCTTTTAGCTACTCAAGAAATCAGTTAACAGAATCTCTTTAGCATCCCAAAAAAACTATTGAATAAGTTGTGTCATCTATCGTATTTTATGGTCATTATAAAGTTTTTTAGAATTCGTATTAGCTACTGTTCCAAACGACCACTGATATGTTTAAGCAGCAACCTCCTAAAGTTATAAATTGAATGAACCCTTACACATAAAATGTAACTTGAATATCATTTTCATGCATTTACACAAAGCGTTTGTGGGACGTATAGAAATAGTAGATTCAATTGCGAGGCAACAATAAAGTTGGATTGTTCGAAACAATCAATTATTGTATTTGTATGGTGGTTGATTTGTTGCAAATAGTACAATAAAAGTCTCACAATATTCGAAACTGATTATTATGCAGCATCACCAAACTCGATTGTATTTCTAAAATTCGTGCTTTTGTATTTGCAGTCGTGTTTTTATGGTATTTCATCATGCTATGATCGAAATTTCGCATTTAAATAAACTGCGAGTTTCAGATATTGTAAAATTAACATTGAAATTGTTCGTTTTCCTTCGAAATTCGAATATGTGTGCAAGTTTTTATGTATCTTATATTAGAAATGGGAAACTACATCTTTGACAGTAAGACCAGTTTCCTTTGAATATAAGTTTTAGTACTCTATGGAAATACATCGAGGGTTTCTGATCTTGGGGACACAAAAGGAACCGTTTCCTTTTATACACGGCAAGAACAACCTAGAACATGTATTTATGTTCCTAGCCACATCTGTGTGGCCGTGATTTCACGACTACATTTAATCTGTGAAATACAGGGTAAAGCTCAAGTAGTAATAGCCTCAGTATATCTCCCGGGAGATTTTGTCAACCTACCGCTCAGTAATTAGATGGCAGAACTGATAGAACACTTGAGAAAAACAATAAACACCTCATTATCTCACTCACCTACATGGGTGAGCACTAATGTCAACCCTAGAGGTAAATCATTAACTTGAATATCTGCCAAGCACTAATCCGGAGATTAGCGAACCCACGTTCGTAACTACCCGATGCCAGCCTGTGATTGATCTCAGTCTGGCATCATCGATTACCTCTGACCACATAACGAACTGGCAAATCACTCCACAAGCGACTACGTCAGATCATAGAATAATTTTATTTGAAGTTAACTGCACTGCAGGGATATTCCCTTTACAAACATCTCAGTGGAGCAAAACTTACAACACCCTTTCGGGAAGCCGCCTCTTGGGTCCTGCCAACTTACAGGACAAAGTAGATCTTCTTAGCAACTCCATTGTGAAGTCATTTCAACAGGCATGTCCTCTGACGACTGCCAAGGCGCCCGGTAACCATCCCTGGGGGTACAGGGCGCTAGAAAAGCAGAAAACTCAATCGGGTAAACTGTTCAACAAGGCAAAGAAGAGTACTTACAGATCTATAGAATCCACCTCCTCTGGATCCCGCCTAAATAAAATTAAAACAAAAGGTTCATATTATAACCCAGCTAGCATCGGACGAGAGAATTGTTCCTACACGGATAACCTTTCAGACGCAGCCTTCCTGGAGCCACCACAGCGCCATATCCCAAATCGACAGAGGTAATACCCTTCATTTAGATAAATAAGAGATAAAAAGATTGTTAATAATTGGGACAGTTCGAGGGTTTGTTCCGAAAATCCTGAGACCCTCGGCATCTTTAAAACTGAAAAAATCCTGAAAACTGAATCATTTTGAATGTTTCGAAGAAGCAGGTTCCACTGAAAGTTCTTAAATCTATGCACACTTTGAAGACACGGAAGACACCGAAAACATTATTATTTCCATAATACAAAATTCTACGTATGAAAAGTGGCATATTTTTGCCATATTTAACACCATATTTCATTTGATATTGCAATAAATTTAAAAAATGTGTTACTATAAAAACATTTCAAATTTCCTTGCGAAGAGATCGATGTATCATTTCCCACTAAATAATTGAAACTAAAGTCTGGGGAACTTCTCTATCAAACCACTGCAAACGCTCATAAAGGAACTGTGAGATCCCCCATCGCCCAAAGCTTACCACTCACACACGAAACGATTAGTCGTTACGATCGATCGCTTACAACCGAACCATCGTGATTAAATAATTTAAGAAGTCATACGTGCCCTCTCGAATCGTTGATCGCAATGAGCCATACACTGTCGATTCATCGTTACGATATTCACGATTGCATGCGTTTTTGTTGCGATGTCCGATATCCAATTCGATGAAGTAAATCGTTAACAATCTTGACATACACTATCGATTCGTCGTTTCGATCGGTCTGAAACGACGGATCGGACAGATCGATCGTACCGTGTATGGGGCCTTTTACCTATACGGTTGTGATCTCATGCAACCTTTAAAACGTCTAGTTTGTTGTTAAATAATAGCAGAGCTGGGCAGAATACTTTCAAAAAGTATTTGAATACTAAAAAGTAAATACTTTACACAAATCAAAGGTATTTGAATACTAAATACTTTTACGTCCAGCACAAGCGAATACTAGATACAGATACATTGAAAAGTATTCAAATACTTAAAAAAATAAGTATTCAAATACTTTAGAATGTATTCGAATACTTTCAAAAGTATTCTAATATAATCAAAGGTATTCGAATACTATAAAAAGTATTCAAATACTTGTCACTCAAATACATTAAAAATTTAAAATAGTATACTAGATAAAAGTACTACTTAAAAAATCAAGTTATACTTTGCATGGAGTTAGCATTTTTTATATTTCTATTGTTATATACAAATTTAAGGGGAGTAAAAGCGTATTATTATTATTATATTATTATATAGGAGGTACCTACCAGGACCTTTCTTTAACCAGTTATGTCCTTAAGAATACGTGATTGGGCTACTATATAGATCAAAAGTTACAGCCCTTTGAATTTTCTTTCGAAATTGGTTTCTAGTCTATAACTTTTGATTGAGAAGTCTAATCGAAAACAGAAGGCTCTATGGGACCTCGTAAAGACCAAGCCTACACCATCAAGTTCGGTAAACTCTAGCACCTTGAAGGCAAACGACTTTGCTGCTCACTTTCAATCAATAGTAAAGCACCCTCAGTCTACGTTCTCCGCCAATGCCCATCATACACCACTTGTTACCAAAAAACATTCCTTCTACTTCAGTCCATGCTCCCCCACTGAAGGTATATAACATCATAGATACGCTAAAATCCAACTGCTCTCCGGGTTTGGATGAGATCCCCAACAACTTATTAAAAGTATGCGCCATGTTTATTGCGCCGTATTTATCAAGCATTGTTAATGCCTGTATTACAAAAGGTGTCTTCCCCAGTGCATTGAAAGCTGCATGTGTCATACCGATTAAAAAAAAGGGTAATTCATCAGATGTCTCGAACTACAGGGGTATATCACTACTGAGTACTTTGTCAAAAATTTTCGAAAAATGTATTTACAACAGACTGATACACTTTTTTGATAAATTTAACGTCCTCTCCGACAGACAATTTGACTTTTATTTACGCAGACGACACTGCAGTAATAGTAAGTGCTAACGATGATGATGCTGCCACTGCCACACACAAACTAAAATGTGTCATAAACGAATTTGTTTCTTGGTGCCAGGAAAATAAACTGTCCATTAACTCTCGGAAAACCGTGATTATGAAAATGACCAAAAATAAAACACACGAAAATGCTGCTGTCGCATTTGACGTAGAGAACTCTGTGATCTCCTGTAGCACGTCCACCATGTATCTAGGCATCAAAATTGATAATTGTTTGTCGTGGTCAAATCATATAGAATATCATTGCTAAAATCAACAAATCATTGTTATCACGTTTGAAACAACAGTTTCACCAAGATTTTTAATAAAGATTTATTATGCCACAGTTTACTCGCATATAAATTATAACATTGTCTGCTGGGGGAGCAGTACGCACTTGCACAGACTATTTGTTGCGCAGAAACGAATAATTCGCTTAATATTTAATCTAAGTTCTCTCCAATCATGCAGAGGGTCTTTTAAAACTTTTAAAATCTTACCCCTCCCCAGTATTTACATATTCAAATTGCTCTGTTACATACACAAAAATATAAACAGTTTTGGGAAAGTGGGAGATACCCATACCTACAATACGAGGGGTAAGGACAAAATTTCCACAAGGAAGCACCACCACTCTTTCTATAATAAATCCCCCTATATGATGGGTTCACAATTGTTTAACTTGTTGCCGTTAGAGTTCACCACCTGCAACCAACAATCATTTAAAAATAAAATTAAAAATTTCCTACAGGATAACACGTTTTATTCTGTCAAGGAATTCACAGAGTTCATGACGGCTAGATTCACTTAAGCAATCCACTTGCTAATTTATTTATTATGTGTTCACTCAATGTTGTTCGTACCTGCACGTAAAGTTTGTTTTTTTTTTTTTTTTTTTTTTGGTAGGTGGGGAAATGCTCCTTAAGCACACTCCGGAGGGAAAATTTCCGGAGTAGTGTGGGGCTCTCCTATCAGGTATACCCACTAAAACCCCACCTTAGGCTCGGCTTCTAAGGCCATTTGCCTTTCAATTACACACAAAACAAAAACGTCAACATAATATAAATATTACAGTTTATCATTAAAACCAATGCTACTAATAAAACGTAGAGTATTTAGGCATTTGTCATTGGTATTAAAATTTTCCGCCCAAGTGTCACTTATTTTGTTAAAATCTCGCGCATTCCTATATTCCGGGCAAACGCATAGTATGTGTTCCAAAGATAAATCCACTCCACAGTGGTCACATTGTGGCCGATCATCACCCGTCAACAGAAATCCGTGGGTCAGAGCACTGTGACCGAGTCGAAGTCTGAATAGTCTCGTTAAGGCCAGACGAGCCATGCCTAAAGGAAACAAAGGCCCTATTTCAGCTTTGACCCTTTTCAGAAAGGCATCAGACTCCGCCCACTGTCCATTCCAGCGTTCATACACACGCGCTTTCACAACCCCACGTCGTGCTGTTATAGTCATGTCTACAATGTCGGCATATTCCAGTTGTAGATATGCAAACTCCTCTCTAGCTCTTTCTCCTAAGGACCTACATCTATACAGACGGGCGCGCGTGGTTACGTTTCTTAGCAGATGGTAATTCGGATGATTACCATCCATCGACACTTTGAGGTAATAATTTACCACGATCTGCTTTCTTCGAAGAGCTAGAGGAAGAATGTTTGCCTCAACGTATAGTGACTCGACGGGACTGGTCGGAAAGGCTCCAAGGGAGTATCTTATGGCAAGATTCTGTATTCTGTCCAGCTTGCCAAGCAACGTATTACTACTACATGTAGAATACACAGAACATCCGTAGTCGATCCTTGATAGTATGAGACCTTTATATAGGTCTAGCAGCGTCTTGGGATGCGCTCCCCACTTGTGGTGAGCTAAGACTCGGATGACATTCAGGGACTTTCTACATGTAGTAGCAACGTTCTGTATATGCGCGGACCAGCGTAGCTCTCTATCGAACGTTAGACCCAGGAACTTGACCTCTTGGACCACGCTTATTATGCGGTCATTCATAAATAAAACCGGGTCATAATGGGGTTTGCGAAGTCGACAAAAATGTGCAACCTTCGTTTTCTCCTCTGATAACACAAACCCAACAACGTTGGCATTATTACATATTTGATTTATCGCCACTTGTAATTTACGTGTTATAATACCGACGGTCTTATCTGCACAAAAAATCGTCAGGTCGTCGACGTATAAACATTTTCCGATTTCGTCAGCAACACCTCGAGCTATCTCGTTGATGGCAATGCCAAACAGGGAACAGCTAAGTGTGGAGCCCTGCGGCACCCCATTCTCTAAAACGTGCTCGTTTGAATAAGCGTCGCCAACTCGTACGACAAATTTCCTATTTTCCACAAAAGATTGTATAAACTTTGGCAGATTCCCTCGTAGATTATATTTGAACATATTTTGTAGTATACCATACCTCCAAGTCATGTCGTATGCACCCTTGATGTCAAAGAAGACCCCAACCAGGTGCTCGCCACTGTCGAACGTATTCAGAATACGATCGCTCAACTTGACCAGATGGTCAATAGTTGATCGTCCCTTCCGAAAACCGGTTTGATATGGGACGTATATATTGTTACGTTCGAGGAACGTTTGCAACCTCCCGTTTACCATCTTTTCCAACAGTTTGCCTAGACAAGAGGTCAAACTTATTGGACGGTAGTGTTGTGCTAACAGCGGGTCTTTTCCCGGCTTCGGTATAGGGACTACAACTGCCTGTTTCCATTCAGAAGGGTAAGTTGATTCGATCCAGCAGGTATTAAAGAATTTTAAGATGATCTCTTTCATTTCAGCACTACAGTGACGAAGCATCTGGTTATGGATACCATCTCCTCCCGGTGAACATGACTTGGTGTTACGGATTGCTTCATCTAGTTCTTCTAGGTTAAAAGGTAAGTTATCATCTAGAGTTTCATCGGTATCAAAGTTTATAGGTGTCAATTCTTTCTCGATTTTAGCCTCTAGAAAAGTACGAGGATAATTGAGTGAACTGCTAACTTTATAAAATTGATCCGCAATAATGTTACTTATTTCCTGCAGGTTGTTGGTAACTACCCCATCGGAGTTACGCAGAAATCTGGGATAAGCGCAACCGATTTTACCGGATATTGCTCCTACCTTCTTCCAGACTTCGCCAATGGTTGTTATTTTTTCACTCTTTGTATGACGTTTCAATGGCTGTGATGCACAGTTTCAAGAATAAAGATCTTATTAATCTTATTATTATTATTATATTATTATTAAGTACGAAATGTTTTGGATTCTACGCCCCACAATTAATAAGAAAAAGTGTTTTCCCGAGAAGTTCTGGTGTAGTCGATTTTTGGTAAAAAAAAGGAAGGTTATAACCTGCCCTTTTTGGAGGCCCGAAAAAAAAATTGTCTCAGATCGACCCGGAAAAAAATTTTCTTATAGAATGCGGCCTGTAGAATCCATAACTTCAAACAGTTCCAAGATTGAGCTACTAGGTCAAAAGTTACAGCCCTTTGAATTTTCTTTCGAAATTGGTTTCTAGTCTATAACTTTTAATTGAGGAGTCTAATCGAAAAAGTACGAATTGTTTTGGATTCTACGCCTCAAAATTAATAAGAAAAAGTGTTTTCCCGAGAAATTTTGGTGTAGTCGATTTTTGTTAAAAAAGGAAGGTAATTGAGTTGCAAATACAAATACTGCTTCCATAAAAGTATTTAATTACAAAGTATTTGAATACTTTAAAGGATTTGAATACTAAAAAGTATTTACAAAATCGAATACTGCCCAGCTCTGCTTCTTATAATATTTTTATTAAACCTGCAATTTATTTTAAAAATAATAGTAGGGGAGCTAGCACGAATTCCACTGAACGAGAATGATCAAAATTTTAACCGATGGAGTTCCATTTTACCCTATCAGAGTAGAGCCGTGTGTTTTAAAGGCCTAATTTCACACTAATTTGAGTGTTTAAAACGGAGATTGTGATTCAGGTATAATAAACACTGAATTTTTACTCAATGTAAAACAACGCACTAAAAGGGGGTGAAAGTGCAAAAAGCGGATGTCAGATACATAGTATTTTTAAGACACATCTCAGGATAAGGATTGATGGAATTGATGAATTATTAATGATCTAGCTAAGAGCATGAGTATAGGAATATTATAGGTATACATAATTCATTGCTTTTTCTAAAAAAAGAAAAAAATTTAATTTCGTCTTATCATGGCAAAATTTTTTGAATAAAGTATGTATGTAGTTGACGTGATGTAAACAAAGTGGAGTGTCATGTCTAAAAATACGTCTAGAGATGGACTAAATGGAGTTTTGTCATTTCGTTATTGAATTTTTCCGTCGCAAAGTTGCTTCGGGGAAAGTGTATCTTGTAACTTTCCCAATATTTACCGGAAATATATATATATATATATTACATACCTACCTGAACGGAAATTGTAGATTGGATTAATGCATCAAATATAAAGGTTTTAGAAATGTATGTGTGGGGGTTCTTCTTATTCGATTATTGGCAAAATTTACAAGGTATACGTAAGCATTAAAAATCATCCAAAGTAATACATTTCTCTAGATTGAGTTTTGGTAGTATAATCAATACGTTTCAAAATTGTTTAACTGGAGACTCTAGACAACGGCGTTATTAGAGCGTTGTTGAGTCAGAAGTTGAGTTGGAAAATGAAAATGAGATTGAACTCTCGCGTAAATCAGGCTCTTATAAAGAGCTATCCATCTATTCAGTGTCAAGGGAAATATTCAAAATAAGCTTTTTGTGAGAGCCATAAGGTTTTGGATGGCAACTGACAATCAAAAAAATTATACAGCATTATTACTTTGATATTGAGAACCGCAAAGAATTTTTTGTGGAGCGCTGGAAAATGCATAGAAAAATATTCGAGGTCTCTTTAATTGCTATGAAGGGTGTCTTTGTAACTGAATTCTTCATTTACCGACAATGCAATCGCACCTGCTTTGATTTCCACACAGCCTGCTTTATTTTACACGCGGAGAAATACAAATTTCCATGTAGACCTCAGATCTGTTGACGACAACCTTTGTCTCAAACTTTATTTACATACACTCACCATCTACCCGCACAATGTTTATAATTTCCTTGCGTACGAAATCACGATTTTAAATAGGAAGGTTTTACGTTTTACTTGAATACGTTATTCATTCTCATTCAAAGATAATTAGTCGAAAACATTCACCTAAACCTCCGAACATTCAAAGGGCTGACAAAAATCGTCAAGCCCTTTCAAACACAATAATACTCGCTTATTATAACTAGAATGTGACGTACTAATTAGCGAATGGTTATTCTCTGAGCAACGTTGGCTTATCATTTTATGTGATATTTGCGAAAGTTATATACAGAACTGAAACTTTAGGAGTCGATACTTATAACCATAACCGATTGTGTGAGAATGACAGATTTCAAACTTTGGCGATGCTATTATTAATATCATTATAACTTCCTGAAGTTTATGTACACTGAGACCACAATAATGAATTTTGAACTCTTTCGACAAAAATTCCGTGATAATAATTTTGAAAATGCCTGCAAACATCTAGATTGAGGAGTAGTATTCACGCTATACATTTAGGGAGAAAATCGTTTCCAACGACTAATTAATTGTTGGCAGGGAATTTGTGCTTTTATATTTACTGTAATAAAAATGTGCTGTGTAAACAATGTCGGTTTGGACGTTGAGGTTTAGGTCCACTCATCTGAAGTGAATACGAGTTGTTCAATTACTAATCAAATGCAAATTTTGTTTATTTGTTTTGTTGTAAAAAATATTAGTTCCTAGAATTATTAAGGATAGGAGAATTTTATCTCATTTTTCCTTATCAATTTGTTTGGTTAATTAATTTATTAGACAGTTTAGATTTGATTCTTTTCTGCTTGACGAAACTGGTAACTTAATACCCATACAAAACATAAGCATTTCCAATGCTAAAACCGCTAAAACCTTTGGCAAGACAAAAAAAGAACACATTCAACTTGATACGACAAACGGCGTCGTTGGTTATGTTCCTCTAGTTCCTAGTCAGAACATATTCTAAAACAGATCAGTCTCTATAAATTTCCTTACCTAAGTGTTCATCATTCCCAAATAGGAGAAGTAAATCTTGCACTTAAATCTAATTATGTACTTCACGAGAACTAAAGTTCATGCTTTAGCTAATTTATTAGCAAATTATCTCGCTTTTGGCCTAGTATCTCATGAAACAGAGCTGTTACTGCAAATTGCCGTTAAGGTATAAGAAGGCCCACTACCTTTACGAAAACGAGTATACTTGGCAATTTGCTGTAAAAATAAGTTTCCAAGTTGTTGGATATTGGGTTTTTTGTCACCTCCTTGAAACATCGAAGATTTAGGTGAACGTTTACAACTTTTTGATTAACTTTTCGTGAGACTGAATAATGTATTAATGTAAAGCTTAGTTATAAAGTATTAAAATGTAAAACCTTGGTACCCCCAATTTAAGTCCGCATATTGAGCTTTTCAACGGTAGGAAATTCTAAACGCCATGCAAACAGATGGAGTGTTTAAATATTTCAAAGCTTGTCATGTGGATATTGTGGTTAATTATCTTTTGCTGCAAAGGAGTCTGGGGTAGCCGCTACGAATGCTCTCAAATGGTGCAACCTCGCGAATTTGAAAAGCAAATTTCGAATGGCGTTTCCCCTAAACGGAAAAAGTATTACACTTTTTTCGACCATCTGTTACCCAAACTAGTTAGAAGGGATCAGTTGAATAATGTTCAGTATACAATTGAGCAGCAAAATATTTTCCTCCTTGCAGGGTCCGTGAATTCGACTTGAAAGGTATTAAGGTCCAAGGATCTCATAATTTTGTGCTTAATTTGTGCGGCTCATTTAAAATTATGTGCAGGTTATTCCACTTTTTCTGATAACACTCCAACTTCAAGCTGTAGGTATTCTGACCTTAGGAGGCAGTTTGAATGCATCACAGCACACAGCTTATGGATAACCCGTCCTCGGCTCCACTTTTTACTCCGAATCCGTTTAACATAGAGTCACGAAATTTCAAAGAGACTTTTCAATGGTATGTACATGCAATTAAATTATGGTGTTTGTAATTTTTTTAATAACACTAGAAATAATCTATTTTAAAATTTAAAGTCTTCAAAGATAAATTTTACGTGTGTAATGCACTAACTGGTATTAGTGTAGTTTAAGCAGGACGCACACTATCGCGGAATGGAATAGAACGGAACGGAATGGAATGGAAATTCTGAATCTCCGCATATTAGACCGGAATTCCGCGGAAAAACATTTTGTATATGAGTAATTTAATAATAATAATAATAATAATGCCATTTATTAATCACGTACAGTTATTTTTACAATAAAACATTGTTTACTATACATATACTGTGTACGCAACTAAAAGGGCGAAGTTCAGATGCTAGTGACGAAATTCGCCCACAAGCCCTGCTCTACCACTTAACCCTTACTATAATTTTACATCTTATAACTATAAATGAACGTGAAATGACTGAAAAATTATAATTAAAACCATTTATCTTGTACGAGTGCAAAAAAAAAACAAAAAATAAACGTAATATCGTATTTGGATCGAATACATACATTAATCATTGTTGAAAGATAAAATCATAAAATGATAAAGAAATTTCTATTGAAAGAGGAAAAAGAAAAAAAAAACAAAAACAAAGCAAAACAAGAAGCGTATTCTGTAACAAGATTGGTACTGAAGATTAATATGATTTAAATTTATTACGAATGATTTTGAGAATTGATTAAGAAACTGTGTAACTGAATTTTAAAGGACCTAACAGATAACTTTTTTAGATTACTCGGCAAATCATTATAATTACAGCTTCGCAATATTATAGGTAAAGGACCTTTCAAATAGTGCTGTTTTGTGGAAGGGAGGTGTAATCAAGAGATTGAATCTAGGGTTCGAGCTAAAATGGATCTTACTATACAAATACCTTGGTGTTTTGCTCCAGATTAGATTATTTTGTGAAATAAAACTAGAGAATGGTATTTCCTTCTGTTCGCCATATTTAACCATTTCAGATCAGATAATCTATGGGAAATGCGATCATATTTTCTTATTCCGAATATCAGACGCATACAAGAATTTTGCATTCGTTGTA